TTGTTCACTCCCAAATTCTAAACTTTCTCTTACAATTTTACAGGTTTATCATACATAATTTACATATGAAATTTAAGAATACAGAATACGGTACTGTAGTTTTCTTTAAGCAGTCCCCGAGTTATGAATCGGTTATGTTCCTTGACCCTGTTCACAAGTCGATTTATTCGTAAGTGAAAACAGTGTTTATTCTAAAGGTCAGTTAAGGTTAAAACACAACCCAGCCATACAAAAAACAAGTAATGTAAATACCTATATAAACTGTAAATAATGAGATGTTAAACATAAAGAAATGAAAAAAAAAAAACTTTAATTACCTTGACAGTTCATAAGTACCCGCATGTGCTCGTAGATAAAAAAATATATATTTTTTATGATCAATATTACGAACCCGTTCATAAGTACAGGTGTTTGTAATTCGGGGACTGCCTGTTTAATTTCCACATACAGGTATACCCCAATAAGTGACGCACATAGGGACCAGGAAAAGTCATTGGTTGGTGAATCAACGATTATCGAAGCAGTTAATCCCATAAGAACATAACAAATTTCATTAAAACCCTATTTGAATAAAAGAAGATACTTACAAATCGGCTATTGTCAGAACCAAATACACAAGTGTTTAAATTAAGAATACTGTAACAGAAAATTTTGCTAGGGGGTCCCATAAGGTCAATTATTTAAAAAATCTGACATCAAGTACAACTGGTTCGTAGTACCTGTATACTGTAATAATATCTCCGTTAGCCAGAATACCTCAAACCCGGAACTCTCTGATAGCTGGAATTGAAATTTTCCAAGGGGCCCATTTTCCGGAAAATTCTAAGACAATTTTCCTGATGCCTGGAAAATTCCAGGTACAGTACTGTACTGTATAGGGGAGATTTTTCCGTGTCCGATTAAAAAAGTTACTGAAATTTATTCTTAAAATTATTAAAATTTTTCACTATAGTGTTAAAACTCAAGAAAGCTCATTCCAAGAATAAAGTAGCATCACGTTAGCCACTGAAAAATTCTGGTTTTGTCACTTAGGTGACCGAATTGTGTAATAAAGTCTCATTGTCATGAAAATTTGTGTTTTCATTTTGTCCAATTAAAAACTTATTGAAATTTATTATGTTCATAATTTAAATTAATTTAATAAAACCATAAAAATAAACACAACATATCAAAGGGATAGGAAATTAACACTACATGTACTGTACCGGTACTCACATTTAGAGTCGCCAGGACAAGATTGTCTTTAGGGTCGCGACCAAAAAAGTTTGGGATCCACTGCTCTAGCTCATACATAATGCAGCGTAACAACAAACGAACAAACAGGAGCTCTCTCTCAAACAGTGGTAAACATCATCAAGAACCTAGAAAAAATACGATGATTTTCCAAAAATTTATTGCAATTTTCTCGGAAGTAATCATTCGCGGAAGAAATGCTACAGAAGAAAAGTGTCTTAGAACTGTCTAAACTAATGATTTCAAAACTTAAAATAAAAAAATTCGCTAGATGACTGAAACGATAATAATACCGGTTAAAATACTTGAGGGAAAAATTAACAACTCATGCTGGTGGTAGCATTTCCTCATAAATTACTGTAAATATCTATGGTGTAATGCCCTACAGTAGGTAATTAAGGGTATTATTGCTTTTAATTGCCCCACAACTTTGGGCTTTTTTTAATATACCTATAATGTACGTTAGACAATTTTAAAATGCAGTGGAAATTTTGCTGTGACCGGCTAAGTTCCTACTAATGCTATTTTACCATGAGTGTGCTCTGATTGGCTAAGAACTTTCTGTTTAATATGACTGGGGGTCCACCCCCCGACTAGGAAGTTAGGTAAGGTTAGCTGCGTTTCTTTGGTTGGTTAAGTCAGGTTCTATTAAGTTCTAGTAAATGTCACCGCTTTTATAATAAGTTTCCATGCACAACAGAAATATGGTTAGGCTTGTTTACAGCTACACAACGATTGACTCACGGCAAAATAAATGTGAAATGCCGCCAGTCACTGTCAAATATAGTTCTCATGTTGTTCGCCAGTAATGGACGCTTAACCAATCAGAGTGCACTCTCGGCAAAATAGCGTTAGTAGGAACTTAGCCGGTCACGGCAATATATCCCCTGCCATTTCAAACACTTTTCGGTATTTTTCTGTAATACAGGTAACACCCAACTCTCGCACAACAATACTAATGGTCCTACCATACCTACCTTATGCAATTCTAAGCAACTTTTCTTCTAGAAACATCCGTCGGAAATTATTCGTCGAAATGTTGATTTTTTAAAGTAATTATTTTGGTTGATCACCAAGTGTGGGAGGTCAGTGCACGTGCATTAGCAGGTGCATTGTGGGAGAGCTGCAGCCATGAATTAAGATTATTAAAATCAGCCAATCATCATCTTCCTTGAGGTGACAGCTTGGCAGATTTTATTTTGAAAAGTCAGTCCTTGGCCATCCGTCTCTGTGTATAGCTGCAACTGGAACTATTTCGCTGCCATTTCCGAGTTCTATGAGAATAACGACAAGGCTTTAGACTTTCTTCGTGAGCACTGTGTTTTGTCCAGGTCTTCCCCAAAGTGCCCAACACACAGTAAAACCCTGATTTATCGAAATTTTGATTTTTTAAAGCAATTATTTTGGAAGGCGACTGAGTGCAACAGCTACCTCATATCCCTGCCTCTGAAGATGAACATCATCCTCAACCTCAGCCCAGGCCTTCATCAGAGTGAATGGTAGGCAGAACAATGGTTAATTCTCGATTACGTTAGGTTAGGTTAGGCTTAGGTTAGTGGGGTCATGACCCAAAACGTGTGACTTCCGACAGAAATGAATGTTAGAATCAAATGAATCACACTAATAAGCTCAGAAAAAGACAATTTTAAGCTTCAAAGTGAGTTGGGTGTTAATCAGGAAATTTGCCCACTTTTCTTCTACGACATTTTGTCGGAAACAAAGGTTAGGTTAGGTTAGCCCCGCAACATGGTAAGATAACTATATTAGGACAACAAAATTATGTTTCTTCGATGGTTTTTGATAAGTTTCGAACGATTGTGGCCTTCATTTCCATCGGAAATCACTAGTTTTGGGTATGGGAAGGGGGAGGGGGGGGAGGGAGCGATACCTCAAAAACGAGTGATTCCGACGGAAAAGGTCACAATCGTTTGAAACTCATCAAAACCCACCGGAAAAGCATAATTTTGTTGTCCTATTGGAGTGGGGCAATTAAAAGCAAATTTGCCAATTAAGGCATGCAATCTGTCTGGAATATTACCTTTCTAGGTTAATATTGACGACTAACCCATGGACTAGTTATTTGTTTTATTATTTATTATCTTACTTTTTATTTGCATCAGTAAGTTCTGATATGATAATAATTTCTAGTGGAAATGCTTCGTTTTGTAGATAATTAGGCGCCTAGGCGCGCACTAGTTTGTCTTCCTGGCGGTAATGAGGCAAAGAAAAGAGTCCTCTCTTCCAGCGGCAGTTTCACTTTCAGCATGACGTGTTAAGGTTGTCGCTGGTCTAATATGGATATAATTTGCGAATTTAGGGTTAAAGACGAGACCCTTCAGTTTTTCAAAGACCACGGCATCGTTCTTTTAAATATAAAGTATTTTTTCACAGCAATACTGTGAAATGGAACTGGGTTTGTGTGCCAAGTCAGTTGTTAATTGGAAACAATTATTCATCAATTCCTCCCGCCATCTCAATAACAAATCACTCCGCCACCCGGACTACATAAACGCCGATGCAGCCGGCTGGTCTCACATCCAGAAAAAACCTCAATAAATATTCGTCCATTGGCTGTCCTCATGTTTTGGTACGAAAATATTTTTTTTTATGTTTTTCGTTGTGTTTTACTCAAATCTGACCTTCATTTCTTTTGCCAATTAGCAGTTTTTGCAAAAAAATAACATTATCATTTTTAACAGAAACAATTAATTTTCACAAAAATGGAGGTCAAATTTGAGTAAAACATACGAAAAGTACACAAAACCTATTTTCATACCAATGGAACCAACCTACCTAACCGAACCTAACCTAACCTAACCTACAAGGAAGAGGAGGTAAGGAGGAGATAACTGACTAAGTGAGGAGTACAACCTCACATAAACATGGCAGGAACCTGCAGACAGCCAATAGACGAATATTAACCCAAACCGCAAATTACACCATACAATAGTAAGTTCTCTATGTTTAATTTTTCAAAGGGTCCGGGGGGCGGAGCACCTCCATTAAGGAAGCTAGGTAAGGTTAGGTAGTTTTGTTTGGCTAGATTAGTGAGGTCTGTTTTTCAAATCCACTAAGTTAGGTTACATTTATTTTAGAAATAAACATTTGGTAAAGGTGTAGAAGAGGGTTACCACCAGAAGGAATTGTCCAAATTGGTTGAATTTTTTTTTTACACACTAATATCATGATATTAAACACAAAAATGGAAACGGCAATGCATAGAACCTGCCCTAACATACCCAACCTATGGGTTTGTTAGGTCAGGTTCTATTAGGTTGTATGTATTATCGTATTAATTTATGTGTTAAACAGCTTGCCTTAATATTGTGGTTGATAAACATCAACAATGGCGAGGCGGAATACGTGGAACAGTTCACCATCAATTAGGAAACGTCTCTTGAAAAAGGATTCAGTGAGGTAAACAACAAAAATGGTGACGGGAGGAGAATTGTGAAGAGGGAGACTAAATAAAAAGATTGTCAGGTTTTTGTAGGTTCTATGCATTGTCGTTTCCATTTTTGTGTTTAATATCATATTCGTGTGCAGAAAATTTTTCATCCAATTCGGACAATTCCTTCTTGTGGTCACCCTCTTCTACACCTTACCAAACATTTTTTAACACATTTGCACAAACTACAAGTGTCATCTATAAAAAAATAGTGAAATTGCGGCATTTTTAAATTCGTTTTTTTTATGAATTTCGGCAGCGAGTTAGTCATCAATAATTACCCCTGTCTATATACAAATCAGTTTAATTAGTAACACACCATCGGCGGACTTTATCAAGGGCCTGCATGGACCGCTTGGTCTCCTCCTTCCCCCTAGAACGGGTCTCCGCTCTCAAAGACCTCGACATCATCTCTGCTGCTTCTTCCTAAGGTGCAGAATCAATTGTCATTAACCCCTTTGTTCTCTATGTTTCACTAATATTCTTGTTTGTGTCTCGGTCTTGTGTTAGGGCCCGGGTGGTGGTGGTGTGTGCCCTCTTCCCTGCTCACACGTAAACAACAACAGGCAACATTCCTTCTCTTCCAGTAAGTTATTCACTCCGTAATATTGAGAAAACATTACATATATGGAGGAGAGGCTGCTCTAATTATATTTATTATAGTTACATTATGTTCTGTACTGATTTTTTTTTTTTATTTAACCACCTACGTTGTAAACCACCCTCCACAGTAAAATGCTATGGATTTTACTGGATAATAAGCAGCGTGTTGTCCCTTTTTTATACAACATTGTTATATTTTATTCGACATTGAGACTGATCGGCTCGTTAGCCGCTTGGGTAGTATAAGGACCTTGGTGGGAGTATAGAAGAGTAAGAGGTCATCCCATACCTGACCCGAAATGCGAGCCAGCATTTTGAGAGGTCAGAGATCGCCCCCTCGCCCTCAGTCGGCGGCTGCAGCTACTATTGTGAACACTGTTAACCGGTGGTCTCTATTGCTTATGCCCGCTAATTGAGTAGTGTTTAAGTGTAAAGCTAGGATTCCATTCACGCGTTAGCTGGGGTGTGTGGGCCTGGGTCAGGAAGAGGGTCCATGACAGCAGCAAGGTGCATGACAGCAGCAGGGTCCACGACAGCACGGTGTAGGACAGTAGCAGGGAGTACCTGAGGGAGAAAAGAGGGGTGTGTGGGGCCGCGTTAGGAGCAGGGGCCGCGTCAGGAGTAGGGGCCACAACAGCAGGAGGGTTCAGGACAGTAGCAGGGGATACTGCTGGGCCGGGGGCGGCGTCTGAGACAGGACGGGTGTGCTGGGGTCGGTAGGACGTGGTGCTTGGGGCAGGAAGAAGAGCGGCTGTATGCTTAGAGTAGCAGAGCTGCTCTAGGGTGTCTAACCTGCAGTGTAGAGACAGTAGCTGTAGAGCCGATGAGAGCTGCCTCTGTGTGGATAAGCCAGTCTTCCGTGTTGCTTGAAGACTGGGAGAGTGATCGGTTTCTCCTCCATCCTGTGTGAGTGCGAATCTCCGGGGGTCACCATTTGTGGGTTTCACTATATTGGTTCACTCTCAGGATGGGATGGAGAAAGGAAACTCACAATGTGCTCTCTGTATACATGTTGTATTGGATGTACAATGCAGCTTGGTGCTGGGAGGGCAGCATGGTTACCAGCGTTAAGTAGAGAGAGCTGGTTGGTGAGGGTTGTGGGGTTCCAGATGTTTGGTTCACACTCAGGATGGGATGGAGAAAGGAAACTCACAATGTGCTCTCTATATACATGTTGTATTGGATGTACAATGCAGCTTGGTGCTGGGAAGGCAGCATGGTTACAAGCGTGATGTAGAGAGAGCTGGTTGGTGAGGACGCTCAGAGAAGGACAGCTTGTGGGTCGCCATGCTCGCCAGCGGGAGAGAGGACCGCCAGGCAGGCGGAGGAGCGGGCCGCCAGGCAGCGGAGGAGGAGGTGTTGCTGGCTGTGGCTGTAGGTAGAAAGAGAGGCAGATCACCACGAGGTCAGGTCTTAAATAGCGGGAGTAGGCGTGGCTTAGCAGTTGACCCCCGCTCCGTGGTGTATGGCGGCGCTGGTTGACCTAGACCACGAGGCATACACTGGGGAATTGGTGGGGTCGGCTAGGCAGCGACAAACAGCGTTTGTAGGGGAGAATTCCACTACAGGGTGCTCAGAGGAGGACCAGCTTGTGGGTCGCCATGGTCGCCGGCTGGAGTGGAAGCCGCCAGGCAGGAGCAGAGGAGGTGTTGCTTGCTGGTGACTGTAGGTAGAAAGAGGGGTCACCACGAGGTGAGGTCTTATATAGCGGAGGTAGGTGTGGCTTAATAGTTGACCTCAGTCATGTAAGGCGGCGCTGGTTGCCGACCTAGACCATGTAAGGCGGCGCTGGTTGCCGACCTAGACCACGAGGCATACACTGTGGAATTCGAGGGTCGGCTAGTCAGCGACAAACGGCGTTTGTAGGGGAGGAATCCACTACAAATACACTGCTGTGCGCCATGCTTCCGCACACAACTCAGCAGCTATACTTTCACTTTCCCCCAGTCTCGTCAACCTGATCAGTACAGTCGTGTATTTATCATCACTTAATAGATACTATTATAGTGTATTTATCATCACTTAATAAGGAATATTGTAGTGTACAGTAGTTTTATGAATCTGCACATATTGTGTGTTATCGCCACGTGCTACCCACATGTTGAGTGAAGAAACTGTTTACAACTCAGAACAGCTTACTAAGCCAGATGGAGCTGTGTGATTGTCTGAGGACCAGAGTCTCGCCTTCTACCGTAGAGGCAACATCCTGATTCTCGTTCAGCCAACATCTTCCTGGAGGATATTATATTTGTTCTCGTTGGTCTAACCCTAGACCCAAAAACGTGAGTTTGATTGTGAACTATTAAATCCTCTAAGAACTCTAAATAACTTTAATAAGTGTGTAGTGGACGTCTCCCCTACAACTGCCTACAACTGCGTAGCGGCGTGTGGGGTATGGGTTGTTTGGTTCACACTCAGGATGGAATGGAGAAAGGAAACTCACAATGTGCTCTCTATATACATGTTGTATTGGATGTACAATGCAGCTTGGTGCTGGAAAGGCAGCATGGTTACAAGCGTGATGTAGAGAGAGCTGGTTGGTGAGGACGCTCAGAGAAGGACAGCTTGTGGGTCGCCATGCTCGCCAGCGGGAGAGAGGACCGCCAGGCAGGCGGAGGAGGAGCGAGGACCGCCAGGCAGGCAGAGGAGGTGTTGCTGGCTGGTTGGTGTAGGTAGAAGGAGAGGCAGATCACCACGAGGTTAGGTCTTAAATAGCGGGGGTAGGCGTGGCTTAGCAGTTGACCCCCGCTCCGTGGTGTATGGCGGCGCTGGTTGACCTAGACCACGAGGCATACACTGGGGAATTGGTGGGGTCGGCTAGGCAGCGACAAACAGCGTTTGTAGGGGAGAATTCCACTACAGGCGTCACCAGGCTGCTACCATCCTCCCTAGCAACCAACCAGATGTTACCGTATCTTAGCAACGGAACCAGTCACCGGCGACTTTCTGGGTTTTCCCAACATGACTCATAGCGGCTGCTGCTGGGTATATAAGCTCTGTCTCTCCATTGAGATTCATTCTGACCATTCTTCTTGAACAAGCAACACCTCCTCCTCGCCTGCCTGGCGGCCCTCGCTCCCGCCAGCGAGCATGGCGACCCACCAGCTGTCCTTCTCTGAGCTTCCTCACCAACCAACTCTCATTCTGCCCAACTTCCTGAACAAGCAACACCTCCAGCACCAGACTGTCTATAATATAACTTATATTATACAAGAAAACCACATTAGAGTTTCCTTCCATCCTGAGTGCTAGACAACATTAATATCTCGATACCCCTACAATGGTGACCCCCGGAGATTAGCACTCACACAGGATGGAGGAGACACTGATCACGCTCCCAGTCTTCAAGCAGACACCAGCTCCTTTTCCTGCCCCAAGCACCACATCCTACGACCCCAGCACACCCGTCCTGCCTCAGACGCTGACCCAGGCCCACACACCCCAGCAGGCGCATCTGACGACTCAGTACTTGCCGTGAGGGAAGCACACAACATCCATCGCCTCCACACCCCCTCTTTTCTCCCTCAGGTACTCCCTGCTAATGTCCTGCACCCTGCTGCTGTCGTGGACCCAGTTGCTGTCACGAGCCCTAATCCGTTTCTGCTGACGCAGCCCCTGCTCCTGACCCAGGCCCACACACACCCCAGCAGGCGCATCTGACGACCCTGTACCTGTCGTGAGGGAAGCACAACATTCATCGCCTCCACACACCCTTTGTCTCCCTTCTCCCACAGATAGTGTGTATCTAGACAGTTGTATTTCAGCGATCGGCTCATCACGCCATCGCCGTTGTCTCACATGAGGCATGCACCGCCCGGTCTGCCTCACATGTGCTAAGCAACTCTACAAACAACAAGTCTCCTACACCGCCTGGAGGGAAGGGGGAGTATTGTAGTGGACGTCTCCCCTACAACTGCCTACAACTGCGTAGCGGCGTCACCAAGTTGCGACCATCCTCCCTAGCAACCAACCAGATGTTACCGTATCTTAGCAACGGAACTAGTCACCGGCGACTTTCTGGGTTTTCCCAACATGACTGGCGGCTGCTGCGGGGTATATAAGCTCTGTCTCTCCATTGAGAATTCATTCTGACCATTCTTCTACAACAAGCAACACCTCCTCCTCCGCCGCTGCCTGGCAGCCCTTGCATCTCCTCGCCTGCCTGGCGGTCCTCGCTCCCGCCAGCGAGCATGGCGACCCACCAGCTGTCCTTCTGAGCTTCCTCACCAACCAACTCTCATTCTTGCCCATCTTCCTGAACACGCAACACCTCCTCCCAGCAAGCTCCTAGCTGTCCAGCATTCATTCAACCAGGAGGCCAGCAACAGGCAACATCTTCTCTAACGAAGCTCCTGCACATCTACCTCCTTCAACAAGCTACTCACCGAACGTCTCTACCGTGCAGCCCCTCACCACACGGCACCTCCAGCACCAGACTGTCTATCATATAACTTATATATTATTCAAGAAAACCACATTAGAGTTTCCTTCCATCCTGAGTGCTAGACAACATTAATATCTCGATACCCCTACAAGTGTATTTATGTACTGTATATTGATCATATTATACAAACTGTGTCCTGATGTATCAGCAGTTTAGGTTATATACTGTATATTGATCATATTATACAAACTGTGTCCTGATACACCAGCATTTGTTATACTGTATGTGAATTGTGCTTTAACAGGTTTTGACCGAATTATACTCATCGCATCAATGACAAGGGTCTTATTGTCCAGCACAAACCAAAATCGCTCCTATGAGCGATTTCACTCTGCTTTATTTATTTATCAAAGTGTACAAGTAGCAAAATTGAGCCATCATATAACACTCAAATGTAGTTACAGTGACCCCTGTTGTAAGCTGGTCTACTGAAAGCTGTCACACAAATGCATCTTGAGTAAATAACCTTCTGATATAGCTTATCCTTTTATTTTCTAGTCATATAACAAATTACATACAGTATTGTATTTTTCTCTATTACTAAAGATGTTATATTAATCATGATGAGCCATAAACCATAAGAGGACAATCATATGAGAATACTGAATCAATAAACAAACCTGATGAATGCAGCAACACCTGATCAGCCCCAGCCTGCTTACATACTCAAGTGTCTAGTTCTCAGTGGTACTATAGCAAATCTGATTAGGCCACTGTACAGTACAATATTCAGTAAGTGTTGTTCATTTCATTTTTTTTTTATTTAATCTTCCCATTTCTTAAAACGTGTTTCTTTTAAAAGTATTTACAGTGGTCCCTCGGTTAATGAGTTACCTTCCATAAGATTCTTAGCTTCGGTTAACGAGCAATCCCTCGATTAACGAGTTTCTTATGAGCCGACCTCAACATGTTATCGCTTGCATTTGGCGGTCCACCAGCTGTAGTATTAGTCCGCCAATACAGTAATCGGTTCTAGGGCTTATATTCCTTACCATTTTAATAAATATCAAGAAGTTTATACGTACTATTCAATAATTTTAAAAGTTTAATATTAAATTTTTTAGTCATTTTAACAATTATTTAACATAATTGAAGGTAAGGAAACTAGTTTTATGCACGCCATCCAGCCTGTCAACACACCAAACAGGCGCCAGTGTCTGTCTTTTCAGTGGAGGTAACATCTTGCTTGAGACTCTTCAACTTAACGCTTTTTTTCTGTGTTTGCAAGCAAATTATTTGTCATTTTAAAATTTATTTTACATATTGACAATATATAATGCAGTGCAGTGTTGATTTAAAGAAAATAATCTTGAATTACACCAAGAGAACTAAAATTTTATGGGTGAAATGGTGCCATGGGGTGCTTTCTCTTCCAACCCATTCTAATTCCCATCATCATGCAGGAGCCTTCTACATAAACACTTCAAAGTAAGTGTACTTTTCTACCCTTTTTGTTGAATTTAGGCAATTTTTGGTGAGCTGGAACCAATTACCCAAAAACCCATTGAAACAATGGTTTCGGTTAACGAGCAACCTTCTAGAACGGATTGTGCTCGTTAACCGAGGGACCACTGTATGGTGACCAGAGCAACTCAAGAGTCCGAAAGAGCGAATTCGGATATATTGAAGTCCAATTTATCGAGGTTTTACTGTATATGCGAATTCCCATAAAGTGAATGTGGACAAAGTGAGGGTCCAGTGTACAGTAAACTTGTGCCATACCACTAACACTTTGTCATAAAGAGGTTCAGTAAGCCTGGGATAGATTTATGCTGTATTGGTACCAGTAATACTGTAGTACATTTTATGCATTATTTTGCTTTTTTAACCTCGGCTTTGATGGTTCAGTAGTTTCACTAATCCGGAACCGGTCTGGTCCCAAGCTTCCCGGATTAGCGAGGTATAACCTGTATAAAGTTTTCCTTTTCCATAAAAGGAAAAATACGTAATTGAGAAAGTTCCTAATACTGTATTTGGTCAATTACTGGTACATTACAAATGGCTGAGTTACTAAATCGACAACCTAGCCAAGTTATCACATTTTTATAATTTAAAAATTTTCTTTACAGGTACGGTATATAAATAAAATTTCAACTGTATTTTTTTTTAATTTTCAAGTACTGTATATTATTACATTAAGGTACAAGAATTTTTTTTAAAGGGGAATGGATAATTTTTTTTAAAGGTTTCAACTTTGTAAGAATTCCTAAATACCATAAACCCCAGTTATACAAGTGACAAAGGTGGCAACAATATATAAACACAATACTACAGGTATTTAATCTTTATGTTCATTAAAATTGTACTTCATGTTTTTCATTTAATAAAAATATAAATCCTCTGTTTCAATGCTACAAAAATGCAAACAAAATAATGAAACTTTAAATTTTCACATTAATACTGGAAAAAAGCCTCATTACAAAAAAAACTTGCACCAGTACCAAGGTGTTCCCTCAAAGGATATGGTAAGCATCTGCACAAATATATGATAACTATAAACGTAATAACCTGCATATTAATACTAATGATTAATATTTTGGCTCAATAATGTATGCAGATTTGTTTAAAATGATTATCTACACTGCTGAATCTTAATATAAATATATATATATATATATATATATATATATATATATATATATATATCTATATATATATATATATATATATATATATATATATATATATATATATATATATATATATCTATATATATATATATATCTATATATATATATATATCTATATATATATATATCTATATATATATATCTATATATCATGTAGATCCGCAATGAAAACGTGGATAAGATAAATCTTGATAAAATCACACGGGAAAAGGGAAACAACGGAGCACCTTAGCTTTCGTCTTTATTCAAGACATCTTCAGAGGCAGTTGCCTCTGAAGATGTCTTGAATAAAGACGAAAGCTAAGGTGCTCCGTTGTTTCTCTTTTCCCGTGTGATTTTATCGATATATATATATATATCCACCATTATAAGACTGCACCAGTTTGTTCAACTATTGTAAATCATTAAATCAGCAAACAACTTCTCTAAATCAATTCATCACAAACACTTTATTCTGAAACCATAATTTTTTTTCTCCTCTCAATGATACCTTATGCCACAAATTCAGAAGATGCTTTACATTTTCTTCAAAACATCACTTGTGAAATTTTTTGGGGCCCAATTATCCAGATTGTACTATAAGATGTGTAAAGTAGCTAAGTGATATTATAATTAACCCAAAATTCAGTTATCTATGATTTTGGGCTCAGTCATCTTAATTATTGTAATGAATCAGTCATCACAAAATAAGTTTCATAAAAAGGAGTGACTAAGTTATTGTTTATAATAAAATAAATGTGTATACATTATGCCTGAAACTAAAAAAAATCATCTTGTACAACACACAGTACAGTATTCAATAAAGACACTAAAGATCAACCAGGATGTGACAATGGAATAATTACTACCATAAATTTCTCAAAGCAATAACAATGAGAAAATAATACAGTACAGTATACTGTATAGTATATATAATTTTTGTCTTCAAAATAAATCTTGTCATTTATCTTCATCATTATGTTGTGGAATTAACTAAAAAAATACAGTAATACCACCATATAAGCTGTCATAAGATGAAACAAAAGTAAACTTCAAAGGTTTACAAAATTGTCCACAAGAATATTTTAAACAGATTTAACATCCTGCACATAAACTCCAAATCCTGCTATTCAAGAGTTTAAAAGCAACCAGTATAAGTGCAGTATAGTACAGGTACTGTGTTTAAGTGAATAATGTATCACCATATCAATTTCTGGGGGGGAAGGATTTATGTTTATTTATTTTTTTTAAGTATAATTTTTTTGATTCTGTACATGTATGCAGTGCCTTAATGGTGAAATGTAAGATGATTTATGAACATACAAATGGAGCATTTGCCACACCCAAGTGCTGAAAACAGATAATGTGTGAAATAAAACAATCTAGGATGCAATCATGCTTACAATACATATTGGTTATTTGTCAACCTATTGTAATTTTTCTGAAGCGCAGAAACAAAATCATAAACCGAAATTTAACAACACTAAGAGGTGATACTAAGCTATCTATCATTGTTTCATCTCTCATCTTGCTGCCCACTCTTACAACATTTTACATACCGTACATACTCGTGTATAAACCATTCTCATATATATAGTCCAATGCCCTGATTTTGTGGAAAAAATTCTTGAGTTTTTCATATATCTCTTGTATAATTTGACCCTAGATTTTCAGATATACAGCACTATGTATAATCTTCGACAAGATTTGTAGTAACAACGGATTCACAGTAACGTGTCTTGGCCGTGACCGCCACCACAACAGCTGACACTATGAAAAGTGTTACCAAATCTGAAAATGAATTCCCACCAGTTACCAACTCCAATGAGGAATAAGATAACATAATATATACCAGAAAATGTGTGGAATAAATAGAAATACTACTACTAAAAAAAACAAAAACACAAAAAAAACTCTTACAGTATTCCCACAGGGTTGCTGGGCAACGGAAATAGTTAATTGCTTCACTACACAAGAGAGCAGCTCAGAACAGCTGAGATCCCTCACTCCCCCACTTAGCGTGAACTTTAAATATATTAAGAAAGATTACTATATTCCCTTTATGTTTTTGACCCTATGATAATGCCAATTATTTTTTTTTTTGCACATTATGTAAGATTGTGTGCATAATAACACAGTAAAAATCTGAAGAAAATTATATATATCTACCCAAACTTACAAGTTAAAAAATATCCAACCATAGCATAGAACACAGCTCACAACTTGGCCTGGAGCAGTAAGGAGAGGGCTAGGAGGATGTGATTATAGTGATGAGTAATGTGTTGTATTACAAATACAAAACTAATATAAATTACTGTACTGAAAAATATGCCTAAAAAAACATAAGGAATATTATCACAGATGTAATGGCCTACACCGTAAGTCAGCTGAAGCAAACTCAAACTTTTAGTACAGATTTCCCAGCATTCATAAACTATACCACCCACCTTTCTTAAGTTATTTAACAATTGTGCTACTCCAAACATTTGTGTACTGTACAATCTAGATAAAAAAATTGCAACAAAACCATTAAGGAAAAGCTATGAAAGTTTAACATAACTGCTATTTGCATAGACACTGGCTGCTTGGCCATGGCAATGCAGGCCAGCTGCTGCGAGACACTACCACTTCCGCCTCCCTAGCAATGCCTCCCCCCCAACACTCCGCTTCCTCTCCAGCTCAGCCAGCTAACTCCTGCATAAAATGTTCATTCTCATTATGTGTCTGACCTAATGATAACTACAGTATTTCTTTTAGCTTTTTTCACAATATGATATGTATGTACGATTGTGTTTGCATGTAACTGTGTGTGTATATCTGTGTATATCTACCGAAATTACTTTTCAAAGATAACCATACCATCTCACAGCTAAGGTTAGCCTACCGCGAGCATGTCAGGGTAGCTAGTGCTCACCATAAATGACATGTGGAAATGCATGAATTTTAACCCATCAAAAATACTATGCATATATTCTTTTTGCATAAAAATTTGAACCATACTCGAGTATATATATATATATATATATATATATATATATATATATATATATATATATATATATATATATATATATATATATATATATATATATATATATATATATATATATATATATATATATATATGAAAGAAATAGTTATATCCTACTTGTAATACCAATTTTTATCAAGATGCATTTAATTAAAAGCTGTTGTCCACTTCTGAATTTGAGTGTCTGGGAACTGTACAAACATTCATACTAGAAACACACATCCATTTTTTTTCTTCTTTCAAAAACTTATTCTTAACACTTATAATCTAATTCAAATATAAAACAAATTAGCTGAGGTACTTGCAAGTACTGGCAAATATCATAATATTAACCCATACAATAACTAACACTCCTTGGCGCTCTTTTGGCATTTGTGTAGCCAATAATCCCAACACATCAATGCATTTGAGGTTTAAAAGGCCCAAGCACCTGCTCTCTAAATATGACATATTTCTGCCATTTCCATGGGATTCAAGAAAACCTTTCCAGGCATGCTAGTAATTATTATAATGGCAAACCACCACCACCAATCCCACGTATAATTTCATGTTTTCATCAATTTGAGCTTTGGTGAGTACATGCTTGTGTTTCATTCATGATTTTTATTCAGGAAAATCAATCTCAACTGCCACCGATAGATTTACCACAGCACATTAATAAAAAATCACTACTGTATATTTTTTTTACCAGTACTTGGGGAGGGGGGGGGGGAGACTAGGCAGTGTTTGTAAGTTTGGGGTTATATAATTAACTCTTAATAAAATTTTAAGGGATTACTGAATCCACTCTAGTAGACAGTGCCTGCCAACTGCATTAACTTCTTCAGTGTAGAGCCACTTTACACAGGTGAAAGACATTAAATCCCAAACTGTAGCAAGAACAAAGATTTCCTTAACTGCAGAAATATGGTCCATCCCATTCATCCAGGGTTTCTAGAGTGTTAAACTCATTTCCAGCCAAAAAATTTGTGTTTGTTTTACAATGCAATCATCTACTCTGCAGAAGCATCTTTCATGTATTGATCCAGTTCAGTGTCAAGGGCAGTCTTAGTTTTGCTCATGTATTCATCCAGTTGCTGGTCCAGTTCCTCACGAGTCCAGTTGCCACCAATTTTTACACTGCCACCTCCACGAGCCCCTCGACCTCCACGTCCACCACGATTTATGCGACCTCCACGGCCACGGCCCCTAAAATTGAAAGCAAATTTAATGATGGTTACCTTAAATATTTCAAGGCACTAGAAATAACTAATTTTGTCTGTGTGACATACTGGGGTCATGAAATACCTTCTGCTTAATTCAACTAATAAAAACTGGCTGCAAAATGTCCGTCAAAAACCAAGGGAAATTTCTAAATACATTTAAGATGAAAAATCCTACCCCTATCTGGTTTTGGTTATTCCTGACTTTCTCTTAACATTCACCTCACAAAACATACATTTTCTCCTCAAAAAATTTGATACAAAAGGACTATGACTCAAGTCAAAATACATCAGAGCCAAAACACAGTAATATGCCTATTACCCATAATATACATATTAACCATCTATATAGCTACACCACTTGTACCAAGCTACAGACATTCCATAAATAGCTGTTACGAGTATTTTTTACAAACTTACCACTTAATCATACTTCCTCCCTCAGTCTTGCACTCATTTTCTTTTTAAACACTGATTCTCTTTCTCAATAGTAATTGCCTTATTCTCCCACCTCATCTTACCAGTGCCAATAATGGCAAATTTCAAAACAAGTTAAATTCACTCAATTTCAAGACTACATGTAACTCGTATCTCCTATAAATGGGGAAAATTTTCGTACAATACAGTGAAAATTTTTAGAGGAGCTGATAAAAAAAAATGGGTATTCTACACAATATGAAGTCCCAAGATTTGAAAAATTTATATATATATATATATGGTAATTTAACTAAAAAAATCATTAAATTACTCACAGCATTACATGCATACCTATATTTGTCTCAAAAATATTTGCAAAACTCCTTAAAAAATCTGTGAAAGCTGTGGAGGGAAAAGATAGATTGATTGTGGTAATTATATCTCTGACGACACAAGAGCTTAGGTCATATGTCGCCGAATTAAAATAAAAGCTCAAGACGACTAAAATCAAATAATGAAAGGTTTAAAAAAAAAAAGCATAAAACTTGTGTAAAAACTATTTAAATGTTAATAAATAAAACTCAAAGATTGTGTAAAGGCCGGCTTCCTCCATGAAGGTGAGTATGTTCCCTCCCACGCTACCCACTCCCTAACCCAGCACCAAAGAGGAATGGTAAGACCCGTTCTCCCCCCGGCACTAGTAGAGGTGCTTACAACGAAGATCTCTGAGACGGGGGCACTGCACCAGGAGGTGTCGAACAGTCAATGGGACCAAACAGCTATGAAAATGGGGAGGGGGCACCCTCTCCATTAAAAAACCAAGAGTCCATTGTGTCTGGCCAATGCAAAGGTGGGCCAAAGGAGTCTCCCACCGGCACGACAGTTCTAAATATCCCCAGGCACCCAAAGCAGGGTGGATGTTGCAGAGCTTGTTTGCTCTCACAGCATCCTACCTGCCTTGCCAACTCAAGCAGATGGCAGCTCTTCTTACTGACTTCATATCAGAGGTAGGTACAGGGGAATGATGTGCCACAGGGTGAGAAGCAGATGTTTTTGCCACAGCATCAGCAAGCTCATTTCCTTTTTCCCCCACATGGGCCGGAACCCAGCAATAATCGACTTTTCAGCCCCGATGTTGGATGAGAAACGGCCACTATAAAATAACTGTTACCAAGGGATGCGCCAATGAGACACTAGCTAAGCCCCGGAGAGCACTGCCTAGAATCACTAAAAATTGTAAAATCACTATGAGGTTGGGTAAAAATAATCTTGAGGGCAAGTAGAATACATTAAAGCTCTGCTGTAAAAATATATGCCATAAAGGAAGACTACCATCCTGACAGAAGTCAGGAATGACTACCACAAAACCCACATCTGCATCCGATTTAGAGCTCTCGGTGTAAACAAAGTTACTCCCGCTGTGAGAGGAGGAATACTATACTCTATAAAGAGCGAATGAACCACACAGGGAGGAAGTAAGTCCTTTCTTTTGTTAAAATACTGAAAAACTTGAATTTCAGGGAGAATCCACAGAGCGGCACTAGGGAATTGCAAGGGGCATATTTGAAAATGAGGAAGACAAAGAAGGCTCCCAACCTCCCTTACCTTGTAGCCGAAAAATCATGGGATACTGAGCATAGTGAAGGGACATAGTCTCGTCAACTACCGGTACACAGACTGCCAGACTGGAGAAGGTGGAGGCGAAACCAACAGGGGACCTAGAGATACTGGAGTCGAGGACCAATGGGTGGCTCATCAGCATCCATCAGTAGACTTGGGATTGGTGAGGACCTGAAGGCACTGATTGTCAAGCACACCCTAGCATGATGAATAGAGTTCAGTGTACTATCGAGTCTAGTCTCAGTGGCTGAAGAGTATACCTCACACCCATAATCCAGTTTTTGTCTAACTAGCACGTATATCGGGATCTGGGTGAACACCTCGGAGGTACCAGTAATGCATGGCAATGGTCTTCAAGAGAGAAAATCTGAAATCATGCTCTGTGGTTCATCTTGAAACCTTGTCTAGTGCAAGTTGCATACGCTATTCAGCCACTGACATGCAGGAAGCTGCATCCCAAATGGCCATGCCATCTACATACAATGAAATTGATACACCACCTGGAACCGATGCTGCTACCCCATTTATTGTAATGGAAAATTGGGTCACACTCAAGACACTGCCCTGAGGAACCCCATCCTCCTGAATAAATGATGCTGCCATTTCTGAGGCAATGCTGACCCTAAAAGTGCAATGTCCCAAGAACTGACTTATTATTGATGGTAAATTGACCTACAATCCAAAAGTGTGAAGCTCCTTAAGGATGCAGAATATCCAGGCTGTGTTGTATACTTTCTCCAGGTCGAAAAAATGCTGACGACGAATAAAAGCCTCACAGAACAAGGGCTCAAGACGAACAAGAGCCTCTGTTGTTGAATGCATCTTCTGGAAACCAGATTGATATGGTGAAAGAAGGGCATTCTTCTCCAAGTAGTCTACTAATTGTTAGATGACCATCTTTTCAAACAGCTTGCAGAAACAGGAGGTCAGAGCTATGGGGCGATATTCTAGCGGATGAAGAGCCTCTTTTCCAGTCTTCTTGAGGACAGATAAATAAATAAGCACTAGACCTTGGCATCAACTGTCAAACATATCACCTCATCTCCCTCCCTCCCCCACCATCTTCCCAGCCAGGGTTGGGTGGTTTTAGGCTTACAGTTTTTACCTTATATAATACCACAGATTTCAGCTAGGATAATATAAATTGCATTTCTGGAATCCTTGCAAGACAGCGAATAATTTGAATATAAATGTCATATATTTTACACAAGATGTAAAAATTAATCACCTTTATCACAATACAGTAGTGATTTATGACTTTCAGTGTTTATGTACATATATATTGCATAGTGATTTAAGGGCGATTTAGGAGTGTTTCTGACTTTATACGAGGTTCAAAGAACGTCGCCTAAGTTGCAAGTCTCCTGTATATTGGAAAATTTAGAAAATTTTGGTAGTAGTGATAAATCTGAAATATTTCCTGCACGATTTCCCTTGCGAAACAAAAAAATTATCACTATACATATAGGAAAATGTTGATAACTTTGGGAGCTGCGATATAAAAAAATCGTTCTATAAAGTTGCTATATATCCCGACCCTACTGTACCTGGAATCTTTTCTGGTTACTGGGAAAAGTTTCCAAGTGTCGAAACTACACACCTTGCATAGACAGACACTAGCCCACATCCCCAGAATGTTTCTGGGTGCTGTAGGCATTTTCCTTGAGTCTAAACTACTGGAGTCCATAAATGCAGTTCATATTAAGTCAGAAACTCCATTTCTTTACTATAACAATCCAGAATAGTTTATCTAAGTTTGGTTAAACAAATATATTTAAAAATTAGAAATATATATGATACGGGCATGTATGAAGCTGTGTTACAGGAAAGACTGGGATTTTCCACTCTCATGGAGCTGCGGGGGATTAGTGGGTCTCATGTAACTGAGCGGACCTGATGGAATGTCAGGTGAAGGTAGGGTGGGGGATTAGTGGTCTCTAATTACTGACCTTCTGGTGGAAAGGCAGGTCACCCTTTCATGGGTGGGTATGCAAGAAGTGTGTGCAGTGGAGTAGATAGCACACTGCAGAATGATACCTTTTTTTAAGAATCTTGTGCATGCAGGTATCCATGTGCCCACAGACAGGCCAGAGGAACTCAACGTTGGGGAGATGTTACATTCATTAATCACACGTAGAATATTAAAACACACGAGAGGAGACGGCATTGTTTTCGTTCATGTTTACAACACCTGTGACGAATGACGATGGTTCTACATAAGAAACTGAAGAAATAAGACCCTGGTTGATTGTGTAGTAAAATTAATGTAAAAATATGAATATGTATGTATTCAGTAATGTTATTTAATGTTAATAAATGGAACAATAGAATTAGCTAAACATTAATGGAAAAGAAAAACGAAATAGATTGGGAACGCCATCGTGTGAAAACATTGTCATTTATATACATAAGCACATGAAAGCAACACTTATTACTGTTCATATATGTTTTAAATAACAAATTCTCCTCACAAATGGTGGTAAAGTCTAAAATATAAGGACAGCCAATAAATATTGTGCAAGTTTTTACTCAAGATTTCGTCAATCAGGTTCAACTCTGGCTGAAGCTGTAGCTTTCCATAAAGATGTCATAGCTGTTGCTGAAATTGTTACTGAACCTGAAGTTGTTGCTGAAGCTGCTTTTGATGAGAGAATTTGATGGTGTAGCTGAAGTTGGTGGTTTAGGCCTTTGAATAATAAAGCTGTTGAAAGAACCTTTCACACTGCTTTCTTTTCTCATTATACATCTTTATGTAGAGGTCATATGTTTTTCATGTCCCTGTTAATTTTAATGCTTCATTCTGTTAAAGGACCCACTTCAGAAAATAATTTTATGTTCATTGCTTACTCCATATCATATCCACAGACCTCTCACCTTTTTCATATTGTCTTAACACATCTAGTTTCTCAGCTAAGCTTATGCACTTTCTTTTAGGTTTTGAACCAGCACTATCATATCTTGCTCATGTTGAATAGGGATGCAAAAATGCCGTAAGAAACCCAATAAAGTTTTCTCCTTTTCACGTTCACATGCGTGAAAACAAACGGCCCGCCAAGCTACAAATGTTTATACTACTGATACTGGCACCACCACTCACATGCACAAGGCGTGTTTTTTTTTAATTTGTATAATACACTGTACATATCGGGATTTAGTTATTATTTATATGAAAATGTAATTTTATTTTTTATTCTATTTTCATCGTAAATACAAAGATTTTAAAGGTGTAAATTGAATTGGGTCCTAAGATAACCAGGGTCTTAAAAGCTGGTCGCCTTCATACTGAATTTTTTAAATTGTCGTAAATTTATCATTTCCATACATATTTTTAATATTTGTAGAGTACCTTAATTATCCAACTTACAGAGGCAGGCTGAGATGATTTGAGCATGTGGAGAAACTGGATGAGCACAATTTACTCAAAGAGGTGCATGGCAGGGAGGAACATCATAGATATTCAAGAATGTTTCTGTAAGAGGTTGTAATAAGTGACATTAGAGCTAAGAACCTAACAAGAGAGACTACGAGACCATGCAGCATGGTGAGCTGCCACCAGGCAATCATGGCTAACTCATGCAAGCTTAGAAAATGGTTGTCAAACAGTAATTAAGATGATGATGGCATAACTATTTTTTTAGCCACTTTACCTAAATACTCCACGTCCTTGACCTGCAGCGAAGCCTCGACCACGAAGTGCACCTCTGGTCCCTCCACGCCCCTGCATCATGCCCCGTCCTCCACGGCCCCTCAAGAACCTTCCACCTCGGGCTCCTCTTGAAATACCACGACCTCCTCCTAAACCTCCACGACCTAATAAAAGAAAAAATGCACTTTTTAACACCATGCGTACTGAATAAAACATTAAAAGTGGTCTCCCCAAAGTGAAGGAGTTCATGCCACAATTAAAAAATATTTTCTTTCATGCTGTCTTCAAGGTAATCTGTGCTGAATGTTCAATCAACTATCCATTTCACAGCCAATTCATCCAAGTTTCTATATCTGGAACAAGAATGTCCTTACTTTTTCCCTAGTAATCCAATTCTTCTGCATCAACATCAGACACAAGAGATGAACACATTGTACTTGTTAACCAACACATAGACAACATACCCCTGACACCAAATGCTCCCCGACCACCCCTAGATCCAACGCCTCTGAAGGTGGCACCTCTGTAGTTCGTGCCACGTAATCCTCGCAGGCCTCCACGTCCCCTCATGCCCATGGATCCCATTCCAGTTTCATCGGGGACACTCAACCGTCCTTTCACTGCTAAGCGTTGCTTCACCGATAGTGGCCGCTGACCATTGAGGCGTTGTTCAACACTTTTCTGAAAACCAGTTTTAAAAGTAATTTTCGTATGGAACAATATTGATTAAATGAATAATCTTCACACACAATTCATTACTGTTTCGTCACCTGAGAGTAACTAACTATGAAAATGTAACCGTGAAGTGAGTATAAATAGTCAACACTATAAACATTTTAACTTGTGTCAGTTTACTGGCCAAGTTTGACACAATCTGTTTAATGGATTAGCTGGTAAGTGGCTGTGAGTCACTTGGGAATTAACTAAGGTTGGGTAAGTCATAGTGGGGTCATAGGTGCTCTCTCTCTCTCTCATATATATATATATATATATATATATATATATATATATATATATATATATATATATATATATATATATATATATATATATATATATATATATATATATATATATATATATATATGTGTATGTATATACAGTGGGGTATGCTATAACGAATGGATCCTACTACGAATATTCCTATAACGAACGGTTTTACCTATAAAATTGAGAATGCTATAACGAACGCAACTCCTACAACGAACGCGGATGAATACCGGACTATTTCGCCTGGCGCATGAATATTGTTGTACCGCGACCCACAACAAGAGCGTCAGGCGCCATCTTTGTCTCATTGTGTAGCCAGTGCACCACTGTTATTGTTGAAATTTCGTCTTTTGATGTGGAAATTCGCGTTATTTGTATAACTATTTTGTTATACAAGTATACAATTGCAACAATGAGTCGTCCAAAGCGAGTGAGAAAGCTAATAACCCTTGAAACTAAGAAAGAAATTATAAAGAAACGTGAGAATGGAAGAAGCATTGCGAAACTTAGTGATGAATATGGGATGGCTAAATCGACTATATGTACGATTTTGAAGAATAAAGAGGAGTTAAAAACTGTGCAAGTGGCTAAGGGAATCTTTAGACTTAGCAAAGCAAGGTGTAATGTGATTGAAGAGATGGAAAATTTACTCTTAGTGTGGATAAAGGAGAAAGAAATGGCAGGTGGTAACATTAGTGAAGCTATAATTTGTGAGAAGGCTAAACAATTGTTTGAGGACCTTAAAGCCAAGACTCCCAGTGGAAGTGATAGTGATGTGCCAGTGTTTAGGGGTACCTGCATGCTGAATAACACTAAGGTAAGATAAAGTACCGTATTTTTTACATTTTCCACAGAATTTTTTCAGTGTTAAGCGGTTGTATTTGGGGGCCTGGAACGGATTATTTGGGGGCCTGGAACGGATTAATCCTATAACGAACGAGGTTCTGGAACCAATTACGTTCGTTATAGCATACCCCACTGTACTAAGAGGGGTGGGTGAGCGTTATTTTCATTTTTTATTGCCTTACCATGATATTTTACTTTTTTTCCACGGTGTATATATATATATATATATATATATATATATATATATATATATATATATATATATATATATATATATATATATATATATATATATATATATATATATATATATATATATATATATATATCTTGATAAAATCACACGGGAAAATGGAAACAACGGAGCACCTTAGCTTTCGCCTTTATTCAAGACATCTTCAGAGGCAACTGGATTACATGGACAGAGAGAGGCTTAAATATACAGGGTGACCTTAAAAACATGAGGTCAGGTCATAATGATGTCATCCACTAATCCCCACACCAACACACACGTAGAGGAGCTTAAGAGAAGGGGGTGACGTGACTAATCAGGTCAGGTCAAAAATAAGGGACCCACAAAATAACTATCATACATCTAGATCAAAGGTTTTCAAAGCACAGAAACTTGGGTACCCTTCTGTATTTGTTGATCGTTGTTTTAAAAGGGCTAAAAAATCCTTTCATTCCTCTCAAACCAGACAAGTTCCTACACTTAAGAATATTTTGACTCTGCCCTATCGTAATGAACTTGTCCCGTTAGTTCGGTCCCTCAAGCTTCTAAATATTAATGTTGTTTTCAAGCATGACTCTACCATTACCAATATGTTAATAAGGAATAGCCCAAGTTTGAATGTAAATGGAAGTGTTTATTGTATTCCATGTAGCAAATGTAATTGTAATTATGTAGGACA